ATACCCATGGTGAGATTCCATCCGGCCCAACAGATTTTCTCACATCCAGCTCCAATAGGTGCTTCTTGACCTCATCTCTTGTAATTTCGAACCTATCCAAGGTCACATGGTTTGCTGCCACCTCTCCTAGCGCCGTGACTTTTCCCTGTTCTATTGTAAAGACCTCCTGGAACCTTTTGTTGAGTTCTTCACACACCTCTTTGTCATTCCCTGTGTACCTGTCCTCGCCCACCCTAAGTTTCATCACCTGTTCCTTCACTGTTGTCTTCCTCCTGCTGTGACTGTGTAGTAGTTTTGGTTCAGTCTTGGCATTATTAGCTATATCATTTTCATACTTTTCTCAGCTTCTCTTCTCACACTAACATACTCGTTCCTGGTTCTCTGGTATCTCTACTTTCTGGTGTTCTGTTATTACGGAAGTTCCTCCATGTCCTTTTGTTCAGCTCCTTTGCTTTCATACATTCCCTATTAAACCACGGATTCTTCCTTTGCTTCTGTTTTTTCCTGTCGGGCTGGGACAAACCTGCTTACAGCTTTCTGACATTTTTGGGTGACATAGTCCATCATGTCTTGTACGGACTTGGTTCCGAGTTCTGTGTCCCAATGTATATCCCATAAGAATTTATTCATCTCCTCATAGTTTCCCTTTGGTACGCCAGGCCTTTGTTTCCGAGTTCTTTTTTGGGGGTGACAATTCCTAGCTCAACCAGGTACTCAAAGCTCAATACACTATGATCACTCATTTCCAAGGGGGCTTCCAACTTAACTTCCCTTACATCCGACTCATTTAGGGTAAATATCAGATCAAGCAAGGCTGGTTCATCCCCCTCCTCTCATTCTTGTCGGTCCCTTGACGTGTTGACTTAGAAAAGTTTCTTGTTGCCACATCCAGCAGCTTAGCTCTCCATGTATCTGGGCCTCCATGTGGGTCTCTGTTCCCCCAATCTATCTTCCTTTGGTTGAAGTCTACCATGATTAGTAGTCTGGATCCGTTCCTGCTAGCCACAGAAGCTGCTCTCTCTATTATATTGATGGAGGCCAAGTTGTTTCTATCCTATTCCTGTCTGGGTCTTCTGTCACTTCTGTCTCGGTGGGGGGTTTATATATGACTACCCCTATAATTTTCTGTTCTCCATTTGCTATGGTGCCTGATATGTAGTCACTGAAACCTTCACAGTTCTGAATTACCATCTCTTCGAAATTCCAACCTTCTCTTAGTAGCAAAGCTACACCACCTCCTCCTCTCCCTTCTCTCTCCTTCCTCACTAGAAAGTAGCCCAATGGAAACACTGCACTTGTTTTAGTTTTCGTTAGCTTTGTTTCTGTGAGTGCTATTATGTCTGGGTTTTCTTCTAGTGCCCATTCTCCGAGTTCACTTGTTTTATTTGTAATCCCATCTATGTTAGTGTACATTGCCTTGAAGCTCACTTTCTTCTGTTCATTTTCTTGTCCCTTTCTTGGCGAGCATTCTGCTGGTGTGGGAAGCTGTTCCGTGGGTGAGATGATCTGTGAGGTGGTTTGCAGGGTCTCAGAGGATTTTGGGGTGGGGGGGTGGGGGTTTAAGGAAAGGGGAGTACAGGTAGAGTGGGGGTTAAGGAGATAGGGGGACATGGAGGGTACGGGGTGAGAAGGGAGGAGGGATAGAGAGGGTATTGGATGAAGGGGGAGGGGAGACAGGGGGAAAGGTGGGAGGGGGGACATGACGGGAATGGGGAAGGGGTGACAGGGTCAGAATGGGATGGGGGGGGGGAGGGAGGGTTGGGTGGGGGCAGGTAGGGTGAGGTGAAGGGAGGGTTTCTATGCAGAGGGGGGTGGTGGTGTTGCCCTCCCCTCTGGTGTTGCTGGGATGCTGGTCGTGGGTTCCCCTCTTGTCTCTGGGACTGTTGTGTTCGGAGCTGTGATTTCCTGGTTTATTCCTCTCTCCCTGCGCTTCCTCTTTGCCTCTGCTGCGCTGGCTCTCTCCTTCTTCGTCCTGTCCCTCTGCAGGAATACTTTTTTGTATCCCTCCACATGCTGCAGACGACTCTTCCTTTCGAGAATATCCTCCTTCGTGGTTTCGTTTGTAAACAACACCTTTACAAGTCGGTTTCTGTCCTTGTTGTACCAGCCTGACCTGAAAACCTTCTCAATGTTTTGTTCAGCCCCTTCCATCTGTAACTCCTTCAGTAGCCCATGTACTGCCTCTCTATCCTTGCTATTCCATTCTTGCCTGTTGGATCCTTCCTGTTCTTTGATGCCTACAACTACCACTGATCTTTTTCTCTCCAGCAGCTGAGTGGTGCACCTTGCTGCTTCCTGTGAGGTAGCAGCTTGCATGGCTACCTCCATCACTGTGGCCATTGCTTCTGAGCACCTAATTGTACTCACCTAATTGTGCTTGCGGGGGGTTGAGCTTTGGCTCTTTGGTCCCGCCTCTCAACCGTCAATCAACTGGTGTACAGATTCCTGAGCCTACTGGGCTCTATCATATCTACATTTGAAAATGTGTTATGGAGTCAGACTCCACCACATCACTTCCTAGTGCATTCCATTTACTAACTACTCTGACACTGAAAAAGTTCTTTCTAATGTCTCTGTGCCTCATTTGGGTACTCAGTTTCCACCTGTGTCCTTTTGTTCGCGTCCCTCCAGTGTTGATAGTTCATCCTTGTTTACCCGATCGCTTCCCCTGAGGATTTTGTAGGTTGTGATCATGTCCCCCCCCTTACTCTTCTGTCTTCCAGTGTCGTAAGGTGCATTTCCTGCAGCCTTTCCACATAACTCAAGCCTCTTAGTTCTGGGACTAGTCTAGTAGCATACCTTTGGACTTTTTCCAGCTTCGTCTTGTGCTTGAAAAGGTACGGGCTCCATGCTGGGGCCGCATACTCCAGGATTGGTCTTACATATGTGGTGTACAAGATTCTGAATGATTCCTTACACAGGTTCCTGAACGCCGTTCTGATGTTAGCCAGCCTCGCATATGCCGCAGATGTTATTCTCTTTATGTGGGCTTCAGGAGACAGTTTGGTGTGATATCAACTCTTAGATCTTTCTCTCTGTCTGTTTCATTAAGTACTTCATCTCCTATTCTGTATCCTGTGTCTGGCCTCCTATTTCCACTGCCTAGTTTCATTACTTTGTATTTACTCGGGTTGAACTTCAACAGCCATTTGTTGGACCATTCACTCAGTCTATCTAGGTCATCTTGTAGCCTCCTACTTTCATCCTCTGTTTCAATCCTCCTCATAATTTTTGCATCGTCGGCAAACATTGAGAGGAACGAATCTATACCCTCTGGGAGATCATTTACCTATACCAGAAACAGTATAAGTCCAAGTACTGACCCCTGCGGGACTCCACTTGTAACGTCTCGCCAATCTGAGACCTCACCCCTCACACAGACTCGTTGTCTCCTGTTGCTTAGGTACTCCTCTATCCACCGGAGTACCTTCCCTTTCACTCCAGCCTGCGTCTCCAACTTTCGCACTAGCCTCTTGTGTGACACTGTATCAAAGGCTTTTCTGACAATCCAAAAATATGCAGTCTGCCCACCCTTCTCTTTTCTTGTCTTATTTTTGTTAGTTTTGTGCCTTGTGTGTGTGTGTGTGTGTGTGTTGTGTGTGTGTGTGTTGTGTGTGTGTGTGTGTTGTGTGTGTGTGTGTGTGTGTGTGTGTGTGTGTGTACTCACCTAGTTGTGCATGCGGGGGTTGAGCTCTGGCTCTTTGGTCCCGCCTCTCAACTGTCAATCAACAAGTGTACAGGTTCCTGAGCCTATTGGGCTCTATCATATCTACACTTGAAACTGTGTATGGAGTCAGCCTTCATATGGAGTCAGTGTGTGTGTGTGTGTGTTGTGTGTGTGTGTGGGTGTGTGTGTGTGTGTTGTGTGTGTGTGTGTGTGTTGTGTGTGTGTGTGTGTTGTGTGTGTGTGTGTGTGTGTGTGTGTGTGTGTGGTGTGTGTGTGTGTGTGTGTGTGTGTGTGTGTGTGTGTGTGTGTGTGTGTGTGTGTGTGTGTGTGTGCGCGTGTGTATGTGTGTGTATGTTCATCAAGTTGTACTCACCAAGTTGTAATCACCTAGTTGAGCTTGTGGGGGTGGAGCTCTGGCTCTTTCGTCCCAACTCACAACTGTAAATAAACTGCTGTACAGATTCCTGAGCCTACTGTGCTCTATCATGTCTACATATGAAACTGTGAATAGTGTTTGCCTCCGCCACATCTCTGCCTAATGCATTCCATCTGTGTTAAACAATTTATCTTTATCTAGCCTGTCGATTCTTCTTAGAATTTTGTAGGTAGTGATCATGTCTCCCCGACCTCTTCTATCTTCCAGCGACGTTAGGTTCATTTCATGCAGCCTTTCCTCGTAACTCATGCCTCTTAATTCTGGGACTGACCTTGTGGTATTCCTTTGAACTTTTTCCAGCTTAGTCCTGTGCTTGGCAAGGTATGGGCGCAATGCTGGGGCTGCATATTCCAGATATGGTCTTACATATGAGGTATACAAGGTCCTAAATGATTCCTTACACAGGTTCCTAAAGGCAGTTCTGATGTTAACCAGCCTTGCATACGCCGCCGATAATATTATTTTTTTGATGTTGGGTTTCAGGAGACAGGTTTGGTGTGATATCAACTCCTAGATCTTTCTCTCTGTCCGTTTCATTGAGGATTTCATCTCCGATTCGGTATCCTGTTTCTGGCCTCCTCTTTCCACTGCCTAGTTTCATTACCTTACATTTACTCGGGTTGAACTTTAGTAGACATTGTGTAGGCCGATTCATTCAGTTTGTCTAGGACACCTTGTGCCTCATACTATCTTCCTCTGACTTAATCCTCCTCATAATTTTTGCATCATCAGCAAAACATTGAGCGAAACGAGTCTATTTCCTCTGGGAGATCATTCACATATATAAGAAAACAGTATAGGTCCATGGACTGAATGAACTCTGTGGGACTTCACTGGTGACACTTCACCAATCTGAAGGGCCAAGACTTTGGTGTCAAAAAAGTTGTTCTAGTGCAATGAAAATTTATTTACGTGCTACATTTAAAGAGGGCTGCAAGTGGTCCAAGTTTCAGCATCGCAGCCTAAATAGAGAGGGAGAAAAAAAAACATTTTTTTAACCATTTTTTAACATGTTTTTAAGTTGATATAACAAATACAAATATCAACTGAGATCATTTCTATGATACTCAGCTATCACATTACTATATAATAAAGGTTGTCTAGTGTCATTACTATCCCAAATGTATTTAGTGCAATAATACAAATTTTCAAAGTTCACTCAAAAAATTATGCAACAAAATGAGGTTTATAAATATTTATAAAATCAATAAATGGTCTTAGGGGAAATATAACACTCGAGTTTTTAGAGGCATAGACTCTACATATAATGTGCAAGTTTCATGTAAATTGAATAATAAATAAAAAAGTTATTCAACCATGTAGTTGCAAATTACTTACCTGTAGAAAATCAAGGTCAAAGTTCAGCAACCTGTGGCTGAGGTTGATGAACGACCAATTTCAATCAAAATTACCACCCTTGTAGATTGGCATTCCTTCAGTAAGGTGTGTAAGTTCCATGAAGATCGCCTGATAAAAAAAAAAAAAAAAATATTAAAAAAATTAAATTATTAAAAAAAAATAAAAAAAAAGGACAGCAGCTTTATATTTACAATTATTTATGATGTAATATCAAGATATAAAAAATAAAACATACTAACCTAATATAATTGGTCTGAAATATGCAACATCTTGCAACATCAAGAGGGAGAACGTCTTGAGTTGCAAGTCTAAGATCTTGAGTGGCAGGTGCCGCAGGTGGTGTGGCAGGTGCCGCAGGTGGTGTGGCAGGTGCAGCAGGAGGTGTGGCAGTGCCACAGAGGTGTGGCAGGTGCCACAGGAGGTGTGGGTGCCTGGGAGTGAGGCGAGGTAGTGTGTGTTGTGGGGCGGGAGGCCGCGACACACACCTGCAGCGCAGCGAGCTGCCCTCTTTCTTCACTCAAGAGAATTCTTGTTTTGCCTCAGTGTGGCTTTACGCTCCTTCTTTACTTGACTAACGCGTAGAGCTCTTGCCTTTAGAGCTTTCTTCTTGTCCGATACTATAACCATTGTGCAGTATATGCAACAAAATACGATCTGTGAGAGCGCGTCAGGCATACGACCCACCCGCACAGACACAGAGGGGGTGACTGAGCCAGTAATCGGCTTATCGTCCCTCCCTCTCACACAAGACTTTTGCCAATGAGTGAGTTTATAAATTTGTATATGCATAACAAGATATTTTCCACTCTATTACGAAATACTAGACGCTTACAACGTATGACGCATCACCCTACGGCGCATCCGAGCCGCGAGGACCAGATTTGGGACAATTGCGGCTGGAAATTTTACTCTAATTACGTTATTTATTATCATAACATTAAACGGTTTGCACCACGGTGTTGCCAGAACGTTGAAGTATTTTTATAAATTTTTCAGAAAAATTCGTGTTTGGCCGAATTTTTTCGGCCATTGCCCCCTGAATCTTCGCCCCCTCACAGTGACCCGCTGTTTTCTGTTGCTTAGGTACTCTCTTTATCCACTAGGAGTACCTTCTCTTTCACTGCATCCTGCATCTACAGCTTGTGCACTAGTCTCTTGTGTTGTACTGTGTCAAAGGATTTATATCAATCCAAAAATATGCAGTCTGCCCACCCCTCTCTTTGTTGCTTGATTTTTGTTTCCTGGCCGTAGAATTAAATTAATCCTGTGAGGCATAACTTCCCATCCCTGAACCCATGCCGACGTTGTGTTTCAAAGTTCTTTCGCTCCAGATATTCCACTAGCTTTTTCACACAATCTGTTCCATCAACTTGCATGGTTTGCAAGTTAGGGACACTTTCCTGTAGCTTAGTGCCTCCTGTCTATCCCCCTTTTTGTATATCAGGACTACATTAGCAGTCTTTCAAGTTTTTAGCAGTTCCTCTGTTACCAGTGATTTGTTATGCACTATGGAGAGTGGCATGCACCGTGATTCTGCTCCTTCCTTTAGTATCCAAGGTGTGATTCCATCTGGGCATATAATCTTTGTCACATCCACACACATCTGTGTGTGTGTGTGTGTGTGTGTGTGTGTGTGTGTGTGTGTGTGTGTGCGTGTGTGTATGTGTGTGTGTGTGTGTATTTCTGAATGTGTGTGTGTGTGTTTTCACCTATTTGTGAAATCCATGCAGGATCGAGCATGGCCTCTTGGATCCCGTCTATCGACCCATCGATTGTTTACATCATTGACTCCGATCCTAATTCCCAATCATATCTAGTTTTAAAATTATGAATAGAATTTGCTTCCTCAACCTGCTCCATAAGTGAATTCCATTTTTTCCCACTACTCTCACGCTAAAAGAAAACTTCCTAACATCTCTGTGACTCATCTGAGTTTCCAGATTCTACCATGTCACCCTCGTTCTGTTACTATTCTGTGTGAACATTTCGTCTATTACCACTCTGTCAATCACCCTGAGTTTTTTATACGTTTCTATCATATCCCCCCCTCTCCCTTCTTTTTCAAGTGTCGTAAGGCTCAGTTCTTTCAGGTGCTCTTCATATCCTATCCCTCGTAACGCTGGGACGAGTCTCTTTGCAAACTTCTGAATCCTTTCCAGTTTCCGTATGTGTTTCTTCAGGTGGGGACTCCATGATGGGGTGGCATTCTCTAAGATTGGCTTCATGTAGGCAGTGTAGAGCGCTCTAAATGCCTCCTTACTTAAGTTTCTGAATGATGTTCTAACGTTTTGCCAGTGTAGAGTACGCTGCTGTCGATATCCTATTTATATGTTTCTCAGGAGTTAGATTGGGTGTTACATACACGCCCAGGTCTCTTTCTCAAGTCGCCACAGGTAGGCAGTTCCCTTTCATTGTGTACTGTCCCTTTGGTCTCCTATCACCTAATCCCATTTCCATAACTTTACATTTGCTCGTGTTGAACTCCAGTACCCATTTCTCTGATCATCTCTGCAAATTGTTCAAGTCCTCTTGGAGGATCCTATAATCCTCAACTGACACAACTTTTCTCATTAATTTTGAGTCATTCGCGAACATCGACATGTAGGAATCTACTCCTGTAAACATGTCATTTATGTATATAAGAAATAGAATTGGTCCCAGTACCGATCCTTGAGATACTTCACTCATTACTGTTTGCCAGTCAGACTTCTCGCCCCCTTACCATTACTCTCTGGCTCCTTCTTGTTAAGTAGTTCCTTACCCATACAAGGGTGTTTCCGCTTACTCCCTCCTGAATCTCAAGATTGAATAGCAGTCTCATGTGAGGTACTGTATCAAAGGCTTTTTGCCAGTCCAGAAATATGTAGTCTGTCCATCTTCCTTGTCCTGACTTAATCTCGTTATTTTATCATAGAATTGCAAAAGGTTTGTTAGGCATTACTTCCCTTTTGTGAATCCATGTTGGTGTTTGTTTACAAATCTAATGTTCACTATGTGTGCAACAAGTCTTAGCCTGATTATTCATTCAAGTATTTTGCAGGGGATGCTTGTTAGTGATTCAGGTAGTCTGTAGATAAGTGCCTCCTCTATATCGCCTTCCTTGAAGATTGGTACCACATTTGCCTCCTTCCTGCAACTGGGCAACATTCCCGACATAAGTGACTCATTAAAGATCCTCTCCAGAGGCACGCTGAGGGCCTGTGCTGTGCCTTTTAGTATCCTCGGTGATACTTTGTCTGGTCAAACTGCTTTATTTGCATCCAGTGTTGTCAGCTGTTTCATTACCTCCTCTGCTGTCACCTCCATATCAGATTATCTTTCATCTTGGGTAATCTCTTCTAACAATGGGAGCTGCTCAGGCCCGGTTGTGAACACTCCATTTAAACTGGCATTCAGTGCCTCGCGGAATCCCTTGTCACTTTCTATATATGCCCGTTCTGTTTTCCTTAGACTTGTCAAGTGGTCGTTCACCGACATTTTCCATCTTATTTGACTGTGTATTTTTAGGTTGATTTTTCGCTTTGATTGCAATATCGTTCTCATAATTTCTTTCCGATACTCTCCTTCAGTTAATGTAAACGTTCTTAGCTCAGTTGCATCTAATAATGTAGCCCTCTGTCCTTTGTCTTATGTACTTGCTCCACTTTCTCCTGCTTCTCATTTTTATTTCCTGACCCTGTCTATTAAACTATGGGTTATTATATTCCTTTACTTTTTCTTTACTGTTGATATCGATCTCTCTTCGGCCTTCTTGCATTTCCATATAGCTAGGTCCATAATATTTTGAACTGTTTTTCTTTTAATTTATTCCTCTCACTGTATTTCTCCCAGATATTTCCATATCCTCTTGTAATCTCCTTTCATGTAGTCAAACTCTCCTTTCCCAGACCTCATGTCCCGTGGTCACAATTTTAAGTTCCATCATGTAGTCAAAGACTAGGACACAATAGTCGCTGACTCCTAGAGGTATTTCATGTTCCAAATTCTCGATGTCTTCTACGTTCTGGGTAAAAATCAGGTCTAATATGTTTGGTATATCCCCCTCCTCTTTTCCTTGTGTCTGCCTTTACATGCTGTGTTAGGAAATTCCTGTCCATAACGTCTACTAACTTTGATCCCCACGTTTCCTCCCGCCATGGGGATTCCTTGATTCCCAATTGATCTCTCCATGATTTAGGACCTTCTTGACCAACAGTTTCGCTCTCATTCTGTGTGCTGTTGTTGTTGCACTCTGTAGTTCATCTATACATGCCTTGTTATTGTCATCATACTCTTGCCTGGGCCTTCTACTGACAATCCTCTTCCCATCTGCTGTCAGAGTCCGATGCATGGAGATTGTGTTTTCATTAGTTCCAAGATTTTCCAGGTCTTCAAACTTCCCTTTCTGCTTTATTAGGAGTGCCACTCCCCCCTCCCTGTCTGTGTGTCCTCTCATTTCTTATCACTTGGTACCCTGCTGGAACGATGGCATGGAAGATCATGTCATTTATTTTAGTTTTCACTGTTGCATTTATGTCAGGATATATCTCTTCTGCTTAATTGGATCCCCCCTTCAGCATTGGTGTACCAAACTGTGAGACTCTTCTTGGAAACTCTGGTATCAGAGGTCACCTTGGTCATCTCTTGGGAGGTCTTGGGGTGCCAGAGGGCTACTGGGGTCTGCACAGCTAGGGGGTGGAAAGGGCAATGGGTCTCAACGTTAAGGAGGGTCTGAAAGTGCTAGGAAGAGTGGGAGTTGAGAGGTAGATTTGGACTGAGAGTCAGAAAGAGTTTGAGAGGTTGGGGTAGAGCAGGGAAGGCAGTAGGGGGGAAGTGGAGAGAATGGAGCATGGGGGTTGTGAGTGGAAGAGAGATTGTATTTGCCATTGGGGAATCAGAGGTAGGTATGGTTTTGGGGAGGAAGGGGGAAAGAGGGAGGTGGAGGCTGTGGATGGAAGTCGGCGAAGAGAAAATGGTTTTGTGGGCAGTAAGAGGTCAGGGGGTAGCAAAGTGAGGGGGTGATATTGGAGCTGAGGTGCAGAGGAGGGGGTGAGGATTAGGCTGGGTTTGGGGGTGGAGGGGACGAGTGGGATGGAGCAGATGGCATTGGATGCAATGGGAGCAGAAGGGGCAGGGAGTTGTTGAGGGTTGATTCAGGTGGTAGGGATCAGAGGGCGAGTTGGTGAGTGTGTGATTTGGGAAGTAGTGGTGGGAAGAGTATGGTTGGTAGGGTACAGGTGGCGGGCAGATTGGCTTGTCTTGAGGGCTAATTATTCATCTTTCATCATATATCT